AAGAGAAAGAGAAAGACAGAAAAGACAGAGAAAGACAGAGAGAGAGAGAGAGAGGAGAGAGAGAGAGAGAGAGAGAGAGAGGAGAAGAGAGAGAGAGAGAGAGAGAGAGAGAGAGAGAGAGATAAGAGAGAGAAGAGGAGAGAGAGAGAGAGAGAGAGAGAGAGAGAGGAGAAGAGAGAGAGAGAGGAGAGAGAGAGAGAGAGAGAGAGAGGAGACGAGAGAGAGAAGAGAGAGAGAGAGGAGAGAGAAACGAGAAAGAAAAGAGAAAGAGAAGAGAAAGAGGAAGAGGAAGAGAGAGGGAGAGAGAGAGACGAGAGAGAGAGAGAAAGAGAGACGAGAGAGAGAGAGAGGAGAGAGAGAGAGAAAGAGAAGAGAAAGAGGGAGAGAGAGGAGAGAGAGGAGAGAGAGGGAGGATGAGAGAGAGAGGAGAGAGAAGAGAGAGAGAGAGAGGAGAGAGAGGAAGAGAGATGAAAGAAGAGAGAGAGAGAGGAGAGAGAGAGAGAGAGAGAGAGAGAGAGGAAAAAAAGAAAAAGAAAAGAAAAAGAAAAAAGAAAAAGAAAAAGAAAAAAAGAAAGAGTAAGCTAAAGAGCGAAGAACAATAGCTTAAAACCCAAACAAAATAGGAAACGAAAAAATGGCGAAATGAGTCAACCGCCCAAGAATAAAATCAGAACCGCAGAGCCCGACCTGCTGCTCGATGCCGTCGTTGGCAGCATGAGCCTCCGCCTTCAGCTTCTCCATGCGCTCCATCACGGCGTCCTCCTCCTGCTGCAGCTGACACAGGTTATCGTACTGCTCTTGGAAGGTCGCGTCCAGATCTTCGTGTACTTGCTTCACCACAGCTGCGGAGCGGAAGGCGTCATGGTAATCACGATGATCAGAAAGGCCGAGAGAAGTAGAGGTATCTTTGTTGATGATAAATGATGAATAAGCAATTGCGTAAGTTCTAGTCCTCCATTTCATAATATTTATCATATTTTTTTTATGTATCTTACTCATAACGTCCAGATTATGGTATGAGTAACAGCGGCAAAACAGCATTTCTAAATCATCAATAGATGCGACCATAATATCAATAATGAGTAACATAAAAATAAAAACAAATGGAAATTGCTGTGACAAACGAATATCAAATTGTTTTAATCATAAGGTTATACTGGTTGATTAATAATGATCATAACTCATTACTGGCAATAGCAATGAAAATAACAAAAAACGTTAAATAATAAGGATATCGGAAACTAATACCAACAATAATAGTATCAATATTTTCAATAATGACAATCACCATAATAATGAAACTATCCATAACTGATAGTAATAATGACAAAGAATGAGCAATAATAGATATAACGAAAATATAACTCATGACTTGAGCAATAGTGATAATATACTCTTAACAGTGATAAGGTTGATAACAACAATGGCATTCAAAACAACCCTAAATTGGCATAAAAAAGGCATGAAAAACAACCCTAGAAGAAAAATCAGCATCAAGAACCGGCATATCTCTCGGGGAAGCTGACGCGATGCCGCCCTCCAGAGCCGCTGGGAAGGCGTGCAGGGTCAGCATCAGTGTCAGCAGCGGCGGCGGCTTCATCCTTCGAGTCGTCCTTGGTGTGCAGCGCGCCGCCACGTCGCCATTCTCCTTCGGCGATCGCAGGAAGGGCGCTGGCAACCCTGGGTCTTGCTCCTCGCTCTCGGGCTGCAAGAAGTGTTGGCTGCGGGAGGGGGGGGGGGTGAGCGTTGTTAATTAGGATCATTAAGATGGTCGAGATGATGAGGCTGATACTGGTGATACTGCAATTACTACTTCTATATATTGTGCTAAGAATGATACTGACAACAATACTAATAATAAAAAGTAAACATTATTGTAAAAAAGTGGCTAATTCGACAAAAATATAATCAAACTGCCTAGTATATGCATGGATGTTTCAATGACATATCATATTCTACTGTTTTTTTTTTTTTTTTTTTTATTATCCAAATCTTACTTTTGTCCGTTAACAAACGTTTTAAACTCAGGTAAAACGAAGCGTCGAGCTGAAATCAGTCTGGTTTCACTTTCCCATGTTCAGATAAGACGAATGAAAAAGAAAAGAAAAAAAAAGCTGCACAGAATCAAGCAGCTGAATTCCCTAGGCCTAACAACAACTGCCAGACCAGCATCAGTAACGAAACAAAAGCAAGACGAACACGAACAATTTGAATAACAAAAACTAACGAATTAAAATCAATAACAAGAAAAGATATTCACTCATGATTTTTTATATACTGTTGAATAAGATCAATAACACATAAATGCAAGATGATTTACAATCAGCCATTTGAATTACACTGCAAAATAAAATAACGGAAACAATCTATTAATTATATACTGTTGAAGAAGATCAATAACACATAAATGCAAGATGATTTACAATCAGCCATTTGAATTACACTGCAAAATAAAATAACAGAAACAATCTATTAACGAATCACTTAATATAGGCCTATT